AAAAAAAAAAAAGAAAGAAAACATTAATTTTAAATTTTTAAAAATTGAGATGCAGTGTATATACAGTGAAAAATATAGATCTTAAAAGATACACTTGAGTGCATTTGATAAATGAATACAACCCTTCATTTCCCACTATTAAGACAGAACACTTTTTTCACTTCCCTAGAGCTCCTCTGTGACCTTCTAGTCAGAGAATAGAATACAATTGTCTATTCTAAAACTTCAAATGAAATAATATAGAATGTATCTTTAGTGTCTGGCTTTTTACTTACTAGAATGTTTCCATAATTCAGTGTCAGTTTATTTCTCTTTGTTATTAGTATTTCATTAAACCATAATTTTGTCTGTTCATTTATCTGTTGATACTTGGGTTGCTCCATTTTGGGCCTATTATGAACAAAGCTGCTAGGAACATTATATATTTTCATTCACTATAGGTGGGTAGAGACCTCTAAGTAAAATTGGTGGGCTTTAGGATAGGTGGGTTTTTGTTTGTTTAAGTATTTATTTTTTAGTTTTAGATATTTGGACACAATATCTTATTTTACATTTATGTGGTGCTGAGGATTGAACCCAGTGCTTTATGCATGCTAGGTGAGCACTCTACCACTGAGCCACAACCCCAAACCTATTTGTTTTGTTTTTTAACTTTATGTGAAATTGCCAATATTTTCCCACTGATTGGAATGTGTGAGAGTTTCATTTGCTCTACAGCCTTATCAACATTTTGAGGTGTTTTCAGTCTATTTAATTTTAGCCATGTGGTGGATATGTAGTAGTATTTCACTTTAGTTTTATATATATATATATATATAATTAGTTATTGATGGACCTTTGTCTATATGTGGTGCTGAGAATTGAACCTAGGGCCTCACACATACTAGGCAAGTGATCTACCACTGAGCCACAACCCCAGCCCCCCCACTTTTTAGTTTTAATGTTGCATTTCTTTGGTAACATGTTGAGCCCTTTTTTGTTTCTTAGTTGGCCATTCATATATCTTTGAAAGTTCACTTATTTTTGAACTGTTAGCTTGCTTTAATTAGATGTTGAGCCATCAGATTATTCATTTTATACGTATTATTTTTTATGTTTATAAATATACTCTAAGATTTAACTATTCTACACAGTAAATTTAAAATTTTTTTCCTGAGTTATCATAACATATTTTTAGATTTTGATATGTTGCCTGAATTTTGAATTTTAACAAATTATTTCTTATCTAATTCCTTAATTTTACTGACATAAAATTTCTAACAAGAGATGATTTTTTTTTTTTTTTTTTTTTGATGGTACTGGGGTTTCAAGCCAGAGCCTCACATGAGCTACTCAAGCACTCTACTACTGAGTCACTCCTCCAGCCCATTATGGATTTTTTTAAATGAAGAATTTCCCTTGGGTGACTCTAAGTACCAGATTGAGATGGAAATAGCAAAACTTATAGTCCATAATTGTTTTCCATTTGCTTTCTAAATCAAGGTTTATAGTCCATGAATATATTAGCAGAATAGCAGGTAGAAGATATATAAAACAGGTAAGGACAATAAGGCAGAAAGTTGGAGAAGAAATAGTGTTCATTGAGTGTCTGTGAAAAAGTTCTTGTTTTAATGGTAAACCTTATATACTTCTTAAGGAAATCATGCTATTACCTGAGCACATTGCTACATTTTCTATATTTTGAGCACATTGTCAAATAAACCCTTTAAATGCCATTCTCTAAATATGTTCTCTTTTAGAATTGGGAATCCCTGCCTCTGTGGATCTAGTGAGCAGTGACCCGAGCCATATGGTAGCATCATTCAGCAAAGGGTATACAAGCATCTTTAACATGGAAACCCAACAACGCATTCTTACTTTAGAATCCAATTTAGATTCAAGTATGTATGCCAATTTTTAATGTTTTGCATTTGGATCAGTTTTTTAACTTAATCAGTTATAACTTCCAGAGTCAACTATGTCATTACAAAATATTCTGCTTCCTAAAGCTCAGAACACATTTTGCTTAAAAGAATATAATGATTTACAATTGATTTTTAAGGGTTAACTTTTACATAGATTTATAACTATATTATTTGAAACAGGATTTGAATTATCCCACATATGAGTCAAGATTGATTTATAACACACAATTAATATTCAGTTCTGTTTGAAGAAGGCATTATTCTGAATAGAAAATAAAATCTGTTTTTAATTCTACCCTTTATTATATTTATTTTTATTTTTTGGAGGTACTGGGCTTGAAGTCAGAGGTGTTCTACCACTAAGCTACACCCTGAGCCCCCTTTTAATTTTTTGAGACAGAGTTTCACTAAGTTACTAAAACTGGTCTCAAACTTGTGATTCTTTTGATTCAACCTTCTGAGGTGCTGGGATTACTCATAATTTCATTTTTAATCAGCTTTATATTAATTATATAACTTAATACAGCTCACTACTAACTAGAGTGTAGATCACACTTTGGCTATCAGAATTCCAAATATGAAACTTTTATTGGATATAGGAGATCAGGAAATAAATGCTTTTTCAGATTATGAAGAATATAATACAGAATGGCTTTTTTGTTTTGTTTTTGTTTGGGTTTTTGGTTTCTGGCTTTTTTAAATGGCTGTTGTCTATCTTTGGGAGGTACTGGAGATTGAACTCAGGAGCAAGTTTAAGGCCAGCCTCAGCAACTTAAACAAACCCTGTCTCTAAAGAAAAAGAGGGTTGGGGATGTAGTTCAGTGGTAGAGCACTACTGAGCCACATGCCCAGCCTTATTTTGTATTTTATTTACAGACAGGATCTCACTGAGTTGCTTAGCACATCACTGTTGCTGAGGTTGGCTTTTGTGATCCTCCTGCCTCAGCCTCCTGAGCCACTCAGATACAGGCATATGCCACCACGCCTAGCTTCTATCTTTAATTATAATCCAGGCAAGCATAATTTAATCTTTAATTATAATCCAGGAAAGCATAATTTAGGTTACAGTTGAAGAAAAAAATACATGTATGCTGTTGTTTTAATCTGAGAACTAACTTTAAAAATAATTACATGAGTGTGTGTGTACTTGCACATGCATATCCAAACACATATATGTGCATGCATGTGTGCTCATGTGCACTTACTTGTCTTTCTATCTCCCTCTCAAAAATTTCTTTCATTCCATTTTGGCCCTTTTCATTTTTACTTCCTAATCTGTTATTCTTTGTTTTTTTTTTCTGATAGGCTATGAGAATTATTTGGAGAAGTTGGCTTGAGTAGAACTTTGAGCTATTTAGACGTAAAAGAGAAAGATAAGAAAATAAAAATCTAGATTATGGAATTGTAAAAATAACTCTTTTTGCCACGAATTACAGATTTTAGACTTTGCATTAATTAATTTTTAGCTTATTATAGGGACTAGGGATTTAATCTAGAAGTGCTCTACCACTGAACTACATCCCCAACCCTCTTTTTCTTTAGAGACAGGGTTTGTTTAAGTTGCTGAGGCTGGTCTTAAATTTGAGTCTTTCTGCCGTAGCCTCCTGAGTTGTTGAGATTATAGTTAGTGTGCAACTATACCCATAGACTTTAAGTAAATTTAAGTCATATTTAAATATGTGACATGAAGCACAGTAAAATTAAAAAAAAAAACAACATTAAATTAGGAAGGATGTGAGCATTTTTAAAATTACTTTCAGAAATTGTAGCTATTTTTAAAAAATTTATATATGACAGCGGAATGTATTACAATTTTTATTACACATATAGAGCACAATTTTTCATATCTCTGGTTGTCTACAAAGTATATTTACATCAATTTGTGTCTTCATACATATACTTTGGATAGTAATGTCCTGTAGCTAATTTTTAAAAAATTTTTGAGTGGCAAATGTTGATATTTAATGACTACTACCAGTTGTTAAAATCTGGTGAATAAGATTATCTCTTTTTTTTTCCCCCTCCAAGAAGTGTGACCATAAAGTAATAAGACATTTTGCCTGGTGCTGGAAACATTTTTGGAAGAAGACTGCCAAGAACGTTTTTAACAAAAGCAATATTATTGAAATTAGTGATAGTTTTTAAATTTATAATAAGCCCTGGCATTTCTTAAATTACCAGTTTTGGTACTTTTAGAGTTGTATAAAGCACACTAAATTAAATTAATCTTTCGTTCCTTTCTACTGTGGACTATTTCTTTGTTATTTATAGTTGATTATGTTATTCTACTTTGGAATTTAGTAGTCTTTTAAAAAAATTAAAGTAAAAACCAAATATGCTTCAAGGTTTAAATGAATTTCATAATGAGTTTAAAATGATGAATATTTGTTGTTGCAATAAATTACCTCTCTTCTAATTGATGTCAATGGTAATTAGACTGCGATAAAGTCAGAGGTAGGTGGTATAGGTAAAAGGTAACTTGTGAACCCAGTAAAAAGGTGAATCATGGGGCTGTGGTTGAGGTTCAGTGGCAGAGCGCTTGCCTAGCACATGTGAGGCCCTGGCTTCAATCCTTAGCACCACAGAAAAATAAACAAAATAAAGGCATGAGGTCCATATCCAACTAAAAAAAAAAAAGTAAATCATTTCTAAATTGCAAGCTAAATATGAATATGTGGAGCATTGTTTTAGATTCATTTTTAGAATGGCTGCTAAGCCTTCAAATATTCTGATGTTCTTTGCATCTTGCCTGCTTCTCTGATTTACTCTAAAATGGCGGAACTTCCTTAAAATTATTATCAAGTAAGAACTTTATTTTGCTTGCTTCCATTATTTGATTTCCATCATATTTATTTTTTACCTTTCAAAGTAATTAAAGCTGTTTTCTACCTTCTGTCTAAAAATATATGAGATATTTCAATTAAAGTATTTCTTTTTTGTTATTGTTTTTGTTCTGCCAAACATTAAAAAGTATTGCTCAATGGTGCATTATCTCTGGAAGAAAAAAATCCACAGTCTGAATTTAAAACTAAGCATCTCTTTACATTCAATGTAGACAAATAACATTTTTGTACTGTATTTGACAATATCCATCTTCACTTTTTAAGATGTTATATTTCTAGAAACCACATGAAAATTCAGTAAGAGTATACTGGTTTTTAGCTATATTTTCCATTATGTAAACATAAATTTATAGTAACTGTTTTAAGATTTATATTTTTAACTCTTTATTTTGAAGTAATTATGTTTATATACATATATATTTATTATTTATAGAGAGCTTTATAGTTATACATAGTTGGTGGATTCATCCTGAAAACTCAAATGCGTGGAATTCAGTTTCAGTCCATGAGCCCCCCCCTTTTCCCTTGCCCTTTTCTCACCCATCTTCCCTCCCCTGCCCCATTCTCCTTCCTCTACTAGACTTCCCTTTGCTCATTATTTATATTTGATTGGTTCTTTTTCTTACATGTAAAGGGTGAAGTTTCCTGTTGTATATATATTTATATATGCATATAACATGATTTTTTAAGAATTCATTCTTTCTTGCCTTCCCCTATCTGTCCTTCCACTCTGCCTCTCAATCTCCTCCTCCTACATTATTGATCTTCCCTTTATGATATCCTATCCTTTCCTCCCTTTTCATTTATTTTACTCTACTTTCCACATATGAGAGAAAACATTTGACCTTTGGGTTTCTGAGTTTGTCTTATTTCATTTAGCATGATATTCTCCATTTCTATCCATTTACTGGCAAATTTATAATTTTATTCTTTTTTATGGCTAAGTAGAACTCGTTTGTATGTGTTTTTATATATGCTACTATTTCATAATCCATTCATTTATTGATGGGTACCCGTGTTCATTCCATAGTTTAATTATTGTGAGTTGTGCAGCTGTATACGGTATATCAATTTTAAACCTTTTGGGAAAATACCGAGAAGTGGTGTAGCCGGATTATATGGTGGTTCCATCCCTAGATTTTTGAGGAATCTCCATACTCCTTTCCAGAGGGGTTGTACTAGTCTGCAGCCCCATCAACAATGTAAAAGAGTACCTTTTTCCCCCACAGTCTCACCAGCATTTGTTATTGTTTGTATTCTTGATCATTTCTATTCTGACTGGAGTAAGATGAAATATTAGTGTAGTTTTGATTTGCGTATCCCTGATTGCTAGAGAAGTTGAACATTTCTTCATATATTTGTTGTCCATTTGTGTTTCTTTGGAGAAGTTTTTGTATAGTTCTTTTGCCCATTTATTGATTGGGTTATTTGGGGAGTTTTTTGAGTTCTTTCTCTATTCTGGATATTAATATCCTATCAGAGGAGTAGCTGACCAAGATTTTCTTCTATTCTGTAGGCTCGCTCTTCACACTTTTTTTTTTTTTTTTTTGGTGGGGGGTGACTGGGGTACTGGGCCACTGGGGCACTTGACCACTGAGCCACATCTCCAGCCCTATTTTTGTATTTTGTTTAGAGACAGTGTCTCACTGAGTTGCTTAGTACCTTGGTTTTGCTGAGGCTGGCTTTGAATTGGTGATCCTCTTGCCTCAGCTTCCCAAGCCACTGTGATTACGGTGGTGTGCCACCATGTCCGTCTCTCTTCATTCTTAATCATTTCTTTTGCTGTGCAGAAGCTTTTTACTTTGATGTCATCTTGCTTATTGATTTTTTTTCTTGTTCTTTGGGGACGGTGTTTGTTAAGGAAATCATTGTCAGTACCTATATTATGGATTATTAACCCTGTTTTTTCTTCTAGCAGTTGCAAGCTTTCTTGTCTATTCCTAAGTCTTTGATTCATTTCAATTTCAGTTTTGTGCAGGGTGAGAGATGGGGGTCTAGTTTTATTTTTCTACAGATAGCTATCTAGTTTTCCTACCACCATTTGTTAAAAAGGCTACCTTTTCTATAAAATATATTTTTGGCACCTTTGTCGGATATAAGATAGCCGTAGGTATGTGGATTTTTCTCTTTTATTTTGTTTCATTGGTCTTCATGTCTATTTTTTAATAAACTTTATTTTTTTTAAATTGTAGATGGACACGATATCTTCATTTTATTTGTTTTTATGTGGTGCTGAGGATCGAACCCAGTGCCTTACATGTGCTATAACCCCAGCCCTCATGTCTATTTTGATGCCAATGCCATGCTGTTTTGGTTAACAACAGCTCTATAGTTAGTGTATTTTCACATCAGGTATTGTGATGCCTCCTGCTTCGCTTTTCTTGCTTAGTGTTGCTTTGGCTATTCTGGGTCTCTTATTCTTCCAAATAAATTTAAGAATTGTTTGTTCTAATTTTTCTGAAGAATGTCATTGGTGTTTCAGTGGAGATTGCATTGAATCTGTATATTACTTTTGGTAGTATGGCCATGTTGACAATATTAATTCTCCCTGTCCCAAAATATAGAAATTCTTTCCATCTTCTAAGGTCTTCTTCAGTTTCTTTCTTCAGGGTTCTCTTTTGCCTCCTTGGTTAGACTAATTCCCAAGTTTTTTTTTTTTTTTTTTTTTTTTAAAGAGAGTGAGTGAGTGAGTGTATGTGTGAGACAGAGAGAGAGAGAGAGAGAGAATTTTTTTTAATATTTATTTTTTAGTTTTCGGCGGACACAACATCATTGTTTGTATGTGGTGCTGAGGATCAAATCCGGGCTGCACGCATGCCAGGCGAGCACACTACCGCTTGAGCCACATCCCCAGCCCCCAAGTATTTTTTTTTTTTAAAGTTACTGTGAATGGATGGTTTTTCTTGATTTCTTCCACAGCTTTTGGAATACAGCAAAACTGTTGATTTACAGACATTTATCTTATATCCTGCTATTTTGCTAAGCTCATTTAGAAGCTCTAGAAGTCTTCTGGTGGAGTTTTTTGGGGTCTTCTAGATAAAGGATCATGTCATCAGCAAACAGTTTGACTTCTTTTTTCCTTATTTGTATCCCTTTGATTTCCTTTTCTTGCATGATGTCTGGCTAATGTTTCAAGGACTATATTGAATAGAAATGATTAGAGTGGACAGCTTTGTCTTATTTCTGATTTTAGAGGAAATGCTTTTAGTTTTTCTTCATTCAGTATGATGTCGTTGTTGGGTTTGTCACAAGTTGCCTTTATAATGTTAAGTTCCTTTGATCCCTAGCTTCTCCAGTGTTTTTAACATGAATGGGTGCTGAGAACATGGGCACTCTCTGACATAGAACATTACAGTGATTCGAATTAGGAAATTTAAAGTTGACAGAATTCTGTTCCATTTGAGTTATGGAATTTTGCCAATTATCCCAATAATGTTTTTTATTTGGATACCTCCTTCCTTTCCCTGGATGGTGATATAATGATAATGACATAGCTTAATTTTGTGGTATCTTCATGTCAATTTTTCTTTTTTCCGTATAAAAAATACTAATAAAAACCATTAATTAGGGCAGGGAATATAGCGCAGTGGTAGAGCGCTTTCCTTGCACGTGTGAGGCACTGTGTTCGTGCCTCAGCACCACATAAAAATAAATAAATAAAGATATTATTTAAAAAAACACTAATAAAACTTAATTTCTTCCTAGTTATTAATTCCCGTCTGATAAAAGACTTTCAGAGCAATTTGGATTGCTCAGGAACCAGTTTTGGCAGTCACCTGATTTGTATGATTGGAATAGAGTTAGACATTAGACTAGGTTCTGGTTTTGTCACCTGGTGTTAGGGTAATCACAACTCATTTTGGATCTTGGTGTATTTACTGATATGGGCCTAATAATGTATGATCTGCCTGTCTCATTGGGCATATAATTGAAATATCTTCGAAAACTCTTAAATAGTGCACAAAAAATACTATTAGGATGTTACAGTGCTACTTCGAAATTCCAAACCTGGTGTGGTCCATAGATTGTCAAATTATAACCATTCTTACCATGATGAAGACAACTCAAGAAGAGAAGATTTAAGGATTAAGAAGCTGTCTTTGTCATGTTTATCTTTAGATGACAACTATATGATAAAGGAGCTTTGTATATAAAAAGGATGAAATTTAAATTTAAGGATTATCTACATGCAAGTAATGATGAAACTTTATTTTAAAGTAGCAAAAATATCACAGAACATTGTAGAATGAGAAGTATCAGTAATTCTAGGCTAAATCTTAGGTGGCACCCATAGATATCAGGTAGTGGAGAAGAAAATTCTAATTCTTAGGTGCCTCTAGATATGTCATTAAAGTGTAGCTCAAAAAGTTTTCCTTTTAACATTGAAATTATGGAAATAGAGAAAAGTGAACTAAAAACAAACTAAGGTTATACTATTTTCTTTTTCAGCCTCTTTGGTGAGTATTCAGTTCTTCTTGGTCTTGACTTGTTCGTGTTGCTCTTTTTCCTTTTAATCAGCCAACTCTTCCTGCCAAATAAATAGAGTCATCAGTCATCCCACTCTTCCAATCAGCATCACTGCTCATGAAGACAGGCATATTAAATTCTATGATAACAATACAGGTAAGAATTTTCATGAAAAATATCTCTACTAAAATACGCTAATTGAGACTTCTCTTGGTGACTGCATAGTCAGGGACTAGGTACTATAACAAATGCTCTCCTTGTTCAGTTTCTGTTCAGTCCATTCAGATGCACTAAGACCAGTCAGTCTTTATTATGCAATTTAGAATCACTTTGGTTGGTTTAACAGTGAGTAAATGGTATATTTACGACCTAGAGCCAATGATCACTAAGAATATAATAAAATGTTCATTCAAATATCAGTAAAAATCATCTGTTGCTTTGATATGTTGTAATAGATGAGGGAAATGGAGAAATGTGTCAAAAGTAGAGACATTAGATTATTGTATTTGGGGCTGGGGTTGTGGCTCAGCAGTAGAGCACTCGTCTAGCATGTGTGAGGCCCTGGGTTCGATCCTCGGTACCACATAAAAATAAATAAATAAAATAAAGATATTGTGTCCAACTACAATTGAAAAATAAATATTAAAAAGATTATTGTATTTAAAATTGTTCAATTATTGAACAGCCTTATTCAGTATTCAGTTACTAAGTTATTGGGTTGCACTATTCAGTGTTGCTGATGGAAACCCTACAAATCATTTGGTTTGTTTTATTTATTTTTCCATGGACTGATCTTTTCTGTGTTATAATAAAATTTTGTTCCTGATTAATTTGAATTGGAACATGAGGCTTTTCCAGTTTTTATTGGATTACATTTCACCAGTGTAAAGGAAATTTACGAGGAGCTGTGCTTGGAGGAAAGTACTCTTTATTAGCAGCCATATTTCCCTATGTGCTGTTGACCTTGCTAACATAGTGACTTTTACCGACTGGGTTTAGCTGCTAGTGATGAGTAATTTACTGTTCTTAATTCTTTTCTGTATGTTGTTTTCACCAGAATTATGGCCATGTTTTCTTTTGGTTTGTCTCAATTTCATTCTTCTCTCTGAATTTGAATTATCTGTTCCCATATGCCCATATAATTTTTCTATAGCTAAGGGATGCAAATAAGTGATTAATAATGTCTAAGTTCTAATTAATGAACACATAGAAATCAATGAGTTCCCTTTTGTGGTTTAAAAGAAAAAAAATATAGTCTGAAATTTGAGCTGCTTTTTTCCCCTCAACATAATAATGATTAGAAGAAGTAGAGGAACATGTGGTTTTAGCTGACGGAAAAGTTGTTTATATAGTAAGGACCCAGAGAGGGATAATTGGAGGAACCAGTATAACATTTAGCTAGAATATGTGAAAGATGAGGAAAATTATCTATAAAGAGTAACCATTTCTTTTTCCAAAGGCAAACTGATCCACTCGATGGTAGCCCACCTAGAAGCTGTTACAAGTTTAGCAGTTGATCCTAATGGACTATACTTGATGTCTGGCAGTAAGTACATCAAATATAGATTATTTAACTTGTTCTTATCATTTTCATATTAATATAATCTTTCCTTTCAATTTCCTTTCCTTTGGTATAGGTCATGACTGTTCAATACGTTTATGGAATCTAGAAAGTAAGACATGTATACAAGAATTCACAGCTCATCGGAAAAAATTTGAAGAATCCATTCATGATGTAGCTTTCCATCCATCCAAATGCTATATAGCCAGTGCTGGAGCTGATGCCCTGGCTAAAGTCTTTGTATGACACCATGCATCATCTTCACTTCTAGCTCTTTATTAATAATCAGCTGCACAAAAAAAAAGATACATACAGAAGACCAGGGCAAGAATCAACTCATCATGCCCTTTCGTTCTGCTGAAGGAGCACAGAGAACATTTGTTAAAGTATAGTTTTGCAATTCGTATACTGTTTTCTAAAATTAAGGTTTGTTCAGGTTGCTGCAAGCTCAGCTGAATCTTTGAGCCTGTAAACTCTTTCAAAATTTCCCCCAAAGATGCGCTTTTATTTCTGAAGTTGTTCTAATTCGCTAGGCAGGCCTGAGCGAAGATAGATTTAGCTTGTCCCTGTTGAGTAAATAGGGCATGCTATAAGGGATAATTAAAAGCTGGATGGCTGGGAAGGAATAAAAGAATGGAAACTTGGACCTACTTCTCCCCTGAGAAATCTTATTAAACACATTAGGTAATCAAAACATTAATCTTTACTATATCTGCTTTGCTAACCCTGTTGTGTATAATGACCAGACAGTGTTAAAAGGAATTTTTAATTTAGCTCTCCTTCGGCTGCTTGCATAAAGCACGTGATAAAGCATTTTACCTATTGGGGGGAAAGATGCAATAATATGTTAAATATATTATTATTCAGAAATGCTAAACAATTTTACTTTGCAAGCAGATTTCTATATTGTATTACAGATTTGAAAGTAGATTTGGTACCGTTGTAAAGTTAGCTGTCAAGCACTCACCATTATAAAGATAGTTGATAGAGTTTGCTTTTACTAAAGGATTAACTTATTCAGGTTTGAGATTCTGTTATTTTTAAGGGCAAACAGGGCATAGCTGTATAATAATTTCTATTTTAAAATTCACCTTACTCGTGATATTTAATAGTACCAGAGTGATTATCTCATATTGATGAAATCTACCAGTGATTGAAAAACATGGAAGTTATTTGCTCGTACTCATTTGTCAATAGCCACATAACCATGCTTCAGATGATCTCTGCTTTTTCTTTCTTGTCTCTCACATTCATGCTGACACCAAAAATAGTTCACAATTATTATGTTTTAATAGTCCAGAGAATATGGTTAACTTCAGGCAGCTGCTTTCAGAGCAGTTAAGTAAAGCAAACGTACTCCCATAATTTCTCTATTAGTATCTCTGAGAAGAACCACCTCTTGGAAATCTGAGTGGAAGATTTTATGCCTCATGTTGGCCAAAAGATCCTCTCTCCCTGCCCCTCCCCCTTGTTTAATTGGAATGCACTTTGTAATGCACGGTGAATCAGTATTGTTCCCTGGGAAAACCATGTCTTAAGAGACTGGGTTTCCCTGAGTCCACTTTACTTGTGACCCACATGTGGTCAACTTTTGAGATTCTTACTACCCTACTATCTGGAACTAGTTCCCTACCATGCAGAATCTTTCCCTAAACTTGTCATGCTCTTCATACTTTTTTCTTATTTGCCCCAAATGACAAGAGATCAATCCAGAGAGTAAAATAAATTATTAATGTCTAACCAAAATGTATATCCAATAGACTATCAGTCTTTTATATATTAATACATATACATATGTGTGTGTATGTGTATCCATAAATATTTTAACCCATTAAAATAATTCCTATATTTCAGCCAGGCACCATCATGCTTGCCTGTAATCCCAGCAGTTTGGAAAACTAAAAGTTCGAGGCCAGCCTCAGCAATTTAGTGAGATGCTATCTTAATAAAAAAAAGGGCTGGGGATATCCTTCAGTGGTAAAATGCCTCTGGGTTTGATCCTCATTACCAAAATAATAATAATCACAATTCCTACATTTCTATCCCCATATATTTCATTGTAATAGCAATCTTCTGATGTGTACATTTCTCAAAGCAGAAACCTTGTGGTAATGTGGACAATAATTGACAATACTTTTTAAAAAAATTTTCTGCTTATCTGCATCTAGAATTTTGTAATATACAGGCAAATTTTCATTAAAGTTATAAGACCTGTGCTATTTGCCTGATTGTTACATGGTCATGCTATAGTATTTTGATACAGCTTCTTTTTCATCTCTGTGCTTTGGTTAACATGTAGGTTTAAGAGACTTCTTTGTACAGTCGAGTGAATTGACCTAGAAATAAGCTACCAGATGAATGCTTATCTTTCCATGAAAATATAAAATTCTACATTGTGTTTTGTAAATTGGATTGTTCACAAAGTGAAGAAAGGGTGTTGCTAACTTAACATTTGTAGAATACTGGAAAAATCCAGCCAGATGCCCTTACATGGTATATTTATTATTGATGACTGCAAAGCTATTGTTCCACTAGTTATTGCTTTAATTACCTTCCAAGGTCTTGAGTGCCTGCTTTACTTGTATCACTGAAATTCTGTAAACCAAGACACTTTTTTTTTAAATTCATTTTATGCCTCATGGTTGAAGTTTTTCTGTTATTGAAAATTAACCATGAGATATGCAAACTGTAATGCAAATAATGGATCTACTGAAAGTTCCTTAGGAAGCCAGTCCTGTGCCATTGGATACTGCACATAAAAAGAGATTTTTCTACCCTTGCATTGTAAGATCTCAACTTAGAAATGAACCTAAGCTATCTTCCAGTGAGCTGGTAGCATATGCATGTATTTGACTTTTCCCCCCAGCCTATTGAAAATTTAATAGAAATTCACAAAATGAACAAATTCAAGATTCAGTCATTGAAATGCTTTTATAATGCTTGATTTGTAAATATTTTGGATGAAATGTATTGGAATAGTATGAAAATCAGCAGGTGGTAGGGTCCCTGCCTTATTTTCATTATGCTGTGGATACATCTCTGGCAGCTTGCAGTACCCTTTTCAAAACTCAGCTGTCACATGGAGCTCATTTGCTGCTCAGACTATAGACAAATATTTAACATGAGTGATATAATAACCTTCAGTATTTTTCTATTGAACAAGTTTAGCAGTTTTTGCCATTAAACAGATAATTAGTTATGCAAAGTATTTAGCTTTTATAATCATTTTAGTTATGACTAAAAGGGGGAAATCGATCTGCATCACTGATAATGAACTTTGTGAAAAATTTTTGTTTATCTGACTTTCATTCCTTCAGTATTCTTGCTATAAATTTGTTTTGGAGATAATGATGAAGATTTATTTGAAAATATCTAAAATGTATGTATATTTTATAAATATATATTATATATATTGTGTGAATATATATAATATATAGACTATATATATATAAATATAAACCATAGGTGCATTTTACTGTTTTTTATTTTCATTTTTGGAGGTAGTGAAACAGCAGATTATGATGAGTGTTGTGCTACTTGCTTTTGCAGTATAATATATAGTTCTAAATGTTTAAATTACTGTATATTCTATATTCATTATAGGCTAGCATGCTTGTTTTAAAGACTGTCATTCTAGTTTATTAAAATCTGAATGTAAGAAAACCTGGCTATTCAAATGTGAATTGAAAAATATTCCATTCTCAGTACTGAACTATTTCCATTGAACATTCAGGCTTTTTAACAAAATATACATCATCAAGAAGGCAATAGTTAGAAAATGAGAGGTGCCTTTAAAATATATATATATACAAATGCAGCCTTACAGTGAGGATGAAGATTGAGTTTGTGTAAGGGGGTGGGGGTGGGGGGACAGTGAGAGAGAGAGTGTGTGTTTGTCAATCTGTGAAGGTCCTGATTTGTGACCATCAGTGTCTTTTTTAATGTAATGCTCAACCTCTAGGACTTCAGGGGACATTTCATGCGCTGTCTTTGTGCTCTTCTGAGCACCTTATGTACGTTCAAGAATTTTGAATGTGAATTCCTAGAAATTTTAGTAAGAGAATAAATATCTACTCTTTAATTATAGTCAAGTTCAGGTAAAAGAAAAGTTTTTGGTTCACCAAAATTAGGGGATCTCATTAATGTTTAATTTTTTTAAAGGCTTGCTGTTTTAGTACTTCATGTGTTTCCCCTTACATAAAAGCATGTCATGAAATTGTTACATGATTCAGATTCAGATAGTAAAAATTATTTTTAAACACCTGAACTAGTTAAAACTTCACCTGAGAATAGTCTTAAAGAATTTAAATGGCATCTCTCATATCTACCTCGTTGTTGCTGCCATTTTAACTAAAGCAAATTTTTATGACATCTGAAATGATAGTTAGATGCAATTTAAAAATCATGTTGGTGCTTTTCTCAGGCTTTATCATTTAAGTTGTATTGTCACAAATCAGATTGAAAGGTTTAGAATCACTCTTAGTTTTCCTTTGAAAGAATGGCTTAAAATTAACCATCAATGTTGTGAGTGGAGGTTATCTCTGGTTGGTGTATGTCTGTGTGATGTTTTCAACCAAAAGACAAAATTGTTATTGAATTTACATGAAAAGAGAGTCCTAAATGTAATTTTATTCAGCTTCCTTTATTCTTTGAAAGTTGTTTCCAAACTATTAAGTACATTATCCTTCATTTTATTTACTCAGAAGTTGCCTCTAACTGCTATGTTACTTGTTTATGTATGTAATTGCATTACTTTGAGTGTTTGACACTGGGATTCTGGTTGTACAAAAGTAGTAGCTGATCGAAATATGTATATTTTTGTGAAATGTATTAATTCCTAAAATCCATTTTGGGGGAAGGTCCAGAAACTAACATATCTGTGTTTAAAAACAAAGAATAGGTCATGGTACTTTATTTGAATCAATTTTAATTTTGCCACTAAAAGCTTTTAATAGGCCATATTTGTCATCCAACCGGATCTCCATATCAGTATAAGGAATTTCATGTTGACAAAGTATTTAACAGATCCTTAACATCACTTTTATTTTTATAATCTAAAAAAAGCAAATGTTAAACCAAAAGAAACCCCTAGATTCCACTCATTTATTCTAGCAGTATTCCTCAAGTGGTGCCAGAGGGGTTGGAGTTTTCTGGATCTTTACTAGTCAAGTTTTAGATTTGATTTAACTGGGACCACAAACTTGTCATCCCTCTGATGCAAATTAGAAAGTTCATTTTAATTTAGGTTAATGTCTGCCTGCATTTTTTAACAGGCTGTGAACCAGTGAGTGCCTTGTTAATGTAGAATGATTTTTCCCCCTGTTGAGTGTTAGCTCTCTTCGAAAATGTCTCAGAGAATGGTGTTATAATTGACTTGTGGAGAGCTGCTAAATTTGGTATCATCAGCATGAGAAAGTCTTTGGTCTACCATATACTCCCTTCCCTGCTTTCTCCTCATTGTTGGGCTGAAGTTGGCCTCTTGTGAATAAACAAATACAACCCCCCCTTCTCCACTCGCTTTTTTCAATCCAGATTAGGAGGTATCCCCATACCCATCCCAACTATATGATCCAATTCCTGTTTTTAGGAGGAACCACTTCTTTGTAATACTAATAAGTCTAATGGTTATTTTATGTCTTCTCAACTTTAGTTTACTAGAGCTGATCTCAGGGTATCATCAGTTCAGTTTCCTGAGTAACCCTTGCTCTCCACACCTAAGCCCCCAACTGGTGAGCCCTGGGCCTAATTGTTTGATCTTCAGGTATTTTAAATTTTAGTTAAAGTATCAATTAATGTAAATTAATCCAAATGCTAATTTTTGTGGTGCAAAAAGTTTCTTTTGTAAATTCAGGGTATGGATAAGCTAATGATGATAATCCATTTTTGGTGGCTCTAAGTGTATTATTTGTTTTTAAATAAAGTGTACAAATATAGATAATATGCTATAGGTGTCTCATGAATTGGAATATTTGTCAGATTTGAAATCTAGCTTTGACTTTGCAATCAGTTAAAATGCTTTTATACAATCTAATTTGGGGTTTTTATTGAAGAGGTATTAGAAGGGTGCAGAGAAGCCAAAAGGGTATAAGATAAAGTAAATATGAATCCAAAGTAATGAAACAGTCTTAGTTATTGATTGCAAGAAA